GTAGTACCTGGTGCTAGTACGTTGCCCTTTGATTTTTTCGTTGGGCGGGTGTGGGAAGCGTCCTCCTTTATTTTTGTTATTGTTTCATTTTGATCGGTTTCCGAGGGCTCTTTTCTCGAACGGTCGGTGCGATACCTCTTCTGTTCTTTCTATCATATTGCTTTCTTTTTCCAAGTGGTTTGTACCCTATGTTTGTTTTGTTTCCCCGCGGCGTCGTATGAGCCGGGTTTTGAGACCACGGGCTCCCCATTTTTTGTGGACTAGAGCTAATGGAGAAACAACAACAACAACTCAAAACGTCAATGTGTCCGGCAATCTCCTACATCACTCAACCTGTGAGGTTTCCGTAAACAGCTGTCCTCACTCCACTCGTCTATGCGTCACGCGTGTTTGGTAGCGCATACTATTGGGGCAATATTTGGGGTGGCGTGTTTTACAGCGCTTTTCCAACAGCGCCAACCCACTTTGTTTAAGTATAGATCGGAGGGAGGAAGGCAGGGAGGACATGAAAAAACGAAGATCGGTAGTGTTATATGCGACACCGGTGTCGTACTTCCTTATATACGACACCTACCATTTCTTGGCCCACAGGGCTCCAATCGGCGTACAACAAAATGCGCTGTGTAGCCACGGCCCGCAGCTATCAGCCCATACCATTTTGGGTCAAATCGGTCAATCAAGTGGTTGAAGAGTATATAAGCTTATCTACGACACCGCCCTTGGGGACACCGTCCAGCCGGGTGTAGGCGTACCATGGCACTGACTGGGTGGATTTCGCCCCACAGCGGCTTGAACGATAGCTCTGGCCTGTACGTACTCATCGCGAGTTTACGTGCGATCAGGCGATGTCTGTGCAAGGAGTTAGACTATGGCCGGAACGTCGCTGACACCCCCCCGGTAAGTTGCGGAGCGCCCTATAAGTACGACACCGGTGTCGTATATAACATTTTTATTTTGTTTCTGAACAACAAACTTCCGAGTAGTTAAATACTCTGTCCTCCGGCCGTCGCATAACATATGGTCTATGGATATAGTCATTGTGTGTGTCTCTGCTCTTCGAACAAACAACTTTTTCCCTCTGCTTCACAGCATTTCTTCTTCACATCTCTCATTTCAAAACTACCCGCACACACTTGCCATTGCCGTTCGACCTATCTATACGAGCGTAGCGGCGACCGCGAAGCGCCCTTGTATGCGCTACAGATTACACGTCGTGGATTTGTATCCAAACCCGCAAAGTAAGATATGCACGATGCAAAGTGATATGGACCTTGTATGCATGACTCCTACGGGGGTATATCTCACCTGGTGAAACCGCACAACATTACTGCCATACCCGGAGGTACATAGGGGTGTCAGCAATTATAGACTACGTTTGTTTACGACTACATAAGACTACTTGTCTTCTCAACAGTCCGGCAGACGATGTAGAGGTGAGTTCATCTACCGTTCGTTTCATAGAATACTAGTAGTCTCCTGTAGTTACTGTACAACTGTTGTAGACATACACGAAATTAAAATCCCCGTCGTCAGAGATAATGACACATGCCAACAATATGCATGTATGCGTAGACTACGCTGCAAGCAGTGTGTACTCAAGCCCAATTCGCGCTCTGTCCCCATCGTATACTGGGATCACCGTTCACTTTGCGGGAAGTCCTCTTGCGGTTCGTGGGGAGTCTTGTTCATGCGTTGTTTGGTGCATTCCCGAAATTGTCGTCGATTCAAACAACATATCATATTCTCGATCTCTGCTCCTTACCTCCTGTCATCGTGCTGACTTGCTGTTCTAACTGACGCGAGTACCATGGATAGACTTTCTTTGGCATCAGTTATCGTGGGGCCGCCACTAATTTGCTCATTGTTGCACGATACCTGAGTACGAGAGCGGGCGGGGATGTCGGACAACGAGAGACGTCACAAATTTATTCCATTCCTGCTTTGCCGCCCGCATCAAAACGTGCGCACAAATGCAAGCAGGCGTGCGTACAAGTATCGACGACGACACCCCATCCCCGAGCGTCCCCAACTCTCCGGGCTCTTTCCACGCCACAAACCACACTCCCGATGGCGCACCACAGACAACAGAAGGTCCGGTGGCAACCTTGAGCAGCGCAATGTAGACAACATTTGATCGGTCCCATGTTTTGCTACGGACAATTTTTCACATTTTTCTGGGGATGGAAGTTTACTCATTTTGAGGGACTACCGATGGATAGGATTCCTGTATGGAGGCGTAGGAGATGTAACGAAGTACGCGAGCTTCATCGCCAATCTTGTTCATGGCCACCCATGTTGCTGGTTGCTCTCGATGTTGTTTCTGTCTTGTTGATGCTTCGTTGTTACGGTTACTGTCGATGATTTTTTGTTTTGTGCTTTGTGTTTTCGTTTTACTTCAAATCAGCGCTCACAACACTAGTGCCGTTTACTCCAACCCGTGGTCACACAGAAGGGCCCCTCTCTACCCTCCCCTCCTGCGGTACGCTGCCTTCGTTGTTCAATGCGAGGAGAGTTCAGCACTCTATCGCCCCTGTGTACACACGAACTAGCGCTATCCATTGCCAGAGAAGCTCGCTTTCGCCGGCATTCGAACCTTTGACCTGACCTCTAGAAGGTTTCGAGGATACCAACTAGACCACCGGGGCGACCGGCGATGATGCTGTTGGTAATGTCGGGGACCGAGGTTTGGGCACACAGACGTGACGCAAATTCCCGGCAATCATGGCAGACGTGTTTGGGTTTTCAAAATCCGCAGCCGAGGAACCAATCGTGGTTGCAGCATCGACATCAATGCATCACTCATGGGTATGTTGATTCCGAGTGTTCGTCCCGACTGGACACCAGTTCATCACCACCAACATCCCGCCAGCAATACACATGTTCTCAAGTGATGATGGGCCCTTCCTGCAAGAAATTCCGCCGGTGTCGTCGCCCGGGCAATAACATTCCACGGTAGCTATCTTCCGTTCGCTAGGCCCTCCTCGTGTAGAACTCGTGTCGCACCGAAAAATATGAACTTAAGATTTTACAGCGGGCAGCTCTGCGTCGGTAGATTTATCTTCAAGCTCGATCAGCCGCCTAAAGCGCTCCTCATAGTGATCCAAACTGAGAGACGACCCATTCTACTCAGAACTCAGACGTCCCGCTTAAGCCCCAACATAGCATGCGACGGCCAGAACCAGCCAGTGGCGGTCACAAGGTACTGCTGTTGTATCCCATGGTCTTCCCTAGACATAACAAGGCAGTTTCAATCAAACACCAACCGCAAACCGGCCGGTGACTCGTTCGAGACGAAATGCCTGAAGCTGCGACTCGTGATAGGGTTGAACGTCAGGTGCTGGGGTGTAGCGTGCCGTCGTTCATCCTCGCCTCCATTTTCTCCTGCCGAAGGAGAAACAACGACACCCGCGCGAGGGAAGTACACAGCTGCTGAGGTGCTCCCGCGATTTCCTTCACAATACATGTCGCATGCACCTCGGTGGCTCCTTGCACAATGGCAGTAATGGGTACAGTCGTTTCACTCGGGACGGGATTGGGGTGAAAGAACGTGGTTAGAACAGGGCTGAAACAAGTGTGGATGAACCAGCTCGTGAGGGATTCGTTTGGTCCCAAGCCCGCAGGACACGACGTATGAGAATGTTTAAGCTGAAAGCACCACACGAGAACATCTGCGACCAAGCGTAGAAGGGGTGGGCTGACATTCTTTTTCTTGCACGTACGCCTGCCGGACCAGGCAGAGCATACAGTACTTAGAATCCGACACAGGCCCATGATATCCCGATCTGAGAGGTTGGTACGGAATGATGGAATCACCCAAGAAACGTTTCAGCATCCGTCCCATCCATCGCAAGTGCGTCGCCTACCTGCACCACCTTAAGCATCATCTCCGAGTATCGATGAAGCATGCCCGTCATCTCTGCTGGTAGTTGTTCTTCTGCGCCACCTAGAGCCCGCCCGCTTCTCGACTCAACCGAACCTGCCCCTTTATCGCCAGCTTCGGCAGCCGGTAGAGCCTCAACTTTCTCCGCCGCTGTGCCAGGAATCACCGCTCTTACCCCCCCAACTATCGTCTCCGATCCGCCAGGGCTCGCCGTCTCTCTCGCCAATGCTCGTCTGGATGGTGGAGGGAGGACGGATAATGATAGGCCCGGCGGTGAGGCTAGTCCACCCCTATCTCTTTCGGCTGACTGATGCGACGACGATGATTCCGTGCCAATCTTGTGTTTGCTCATTGCTGCAAGCCTGCCGCTGGTGGTGCTGCCGGTGTTGCTGGCATCACCCGGTACAGCGCCGCTGCCGCTGCTGCTGTTGGCACAGCTCCCGCCAATACTTGCTAGCGAGGGCGAAATGAGACACGCGGCGGGGATTGCCTTGCCCGCCATAACTGACAAGATGCCGTATACGGAGGCGAAGCTCTCTCTAAATGATGTTTCGAGAGCGAGAGGTCCCAACCTATCTCGATCCCCTCCCTGTCCTTGGCCTGGCATGTTTTCTGCTGTGGCATGGCGGTCGTCTTCATCGGGTACTTCTTCTTCATCTTCCCATTCGTCGTCATCGTCATAAGATTCGTCATCCCCGTCTGACTCTCCTGGATGGCTCATTGAAGTCGATGGTGCCACGGATGGCGATGATGTTAACGCTTTTGCATGGCCACTGCCGCTGTCGCCGTTGCCTTGTTTTCTTTCTTCGTGCTCGCCACCTGAGAAAAAGCCATGATACAGCGACACACGGCGTGCGAGCAACGCAATCATACATTGCCTCCTGTCCATCCAACCGAAACGCTAGCCTGAACGAGATTCCACACATGCGTTCACACATGCGGAACGCGGGCTCAGGCAACGAACCAGATTTGAATGAGCCCAGGCCACGTAAACGTCCGCGCAATTGCCTACACGTGCGCTTGTGTGCTGAGGGTCTGCATTGATTTTTCTCGCAGATGGATTCATGCTGTTTGTTGTCCTGGAGATAGTTACCAACCTACTCGATTGTGGGCTTCCTGACGACTGCAACGGAACGGAAAGAAAGGATTATCGCAGCCTACACATGTTTGCCTGTAATCTGTAAAGCAATAAGCACATCTATCAACACCACGTCCGTAAGTGGGATGTGTGGTTCACCCGAACTCCTCTCAGGAATACCGCCGAAATTCAGGGCTTCGCACATCTCTCTGGTCGCTACATTGCTTGCCAACGTTCTCCGACTAGAGCACGGTAGCGATGTACCCACGCAAAATTGTGTCAAGCCTCCACAGTCGGAGTCTGACGCAGAAACACTATTCCCGACCCTACCTGCATATGTGAGCTTGCGAACAGCGTTATCCAGCCGCAGGCTTCCCCTCCTAGGCCCCACCGACGACATCGAGGGGAAGGATTCCAACCCCATGCCTGATTCCTCCTCCTCGGTGCCCGTCCTTGTCCCCGTCCCCGTTTCCTGCGACGCAAGGGAGGCGGAAGACGCCTCCGTGAGCTCCCGGTACAGCTCTGCGGCGTGCGAAGCCGCTTCGGTGAGACGCAGGAGGGCCTCCTCGTATTCCTTGTCCGGCCGCGGTAGAGCTACCGCGACCCTGTTGCTGGCGATGAAGGGGGAAACGCTTCCTCGATCCTCGTTATTTTCTTCTGGGTGGCTGCGGTGATACCGGCGGCGCCGGCGACGACCGGACAAGAGGATCGATGAACTTCCACTCTCCAGCGGGTGTTGGTGGCCCACATCTGTCCCTCGATTGGAAGAAGGTGTGTCGCCTAAGCCGCTCGAACTAGCTTCGACGCCGTCGTCATCGGCACCTTGCACGTCCACCGTAAGGGAGTCGCTTGGTGTGCCGACCGGAACTTCATCGGTCCGAAGTCCATCTGCATCGGGTCCAACCGAGCGGCACTCTAGACAGAGCGACCTTGACTGTGAAGGTGGTGGTCGTGACGGCAGAGGAGGAGGAGGGGGTGAAGAGGCCGTGGGCTCGGCACCTATTCGACGATCTTCGCCCTCATCTTCGGCGCCGGCTTTGCCGGTACGCTCCTTCTCCTCGGTCTCCGCATCTGCAGTGGAAGCAGCAACAGTAGTAGCACCCTTCCCGCTGACAGGGGGACTACCACGGCCTTCTGCGGATTGTCTGGGCGCTTTAGAAAGCGCGTTGATTAGGGAGAACCTCGTCTCCTCACCGACATATTTTGCGGCGGCAGCCCCCTCGTCTTCACAGCTGGGATTGTCACCACCGGCCTCCAGGAACCCCATTGCGGATAGTTGTCTCCTCATGGCCTCCACCGCTCCTTCCGTCTCGCTAATTCGACGGCCCCTCTTGGACGACGCACCCCCGTCCCTCTGGTCCGCAGCAGTCCTCTCCGAGGACTCACTGCTAGCGGTCGAGGTGGCGGGCCCCGGTCGGCCTCCTCCCTCCAAAGACGCGGCGACGGCACTACCTTCGCCGCATCCTTTGGACCGGAAGCTATTTCCTCTGCGAAGGCTGTTGATACCTTCCATACTACCCGGATTCTTGTCGTCATTGCAAGAATTTCTTCCATGATTGAACCCCTCATATATTGTCGACGAAACATCGTCGTCATCGTCATCATTAGCAGCAGCAGCAGCTGTTGTAGCGGTGGCCGAAGGGGGTACAGGGCGCGCGACCGCCGTACTAACTGTCATACACTTGAAGCCTGTGACATCCACACTTGCCGCTGTTGCGTCGTCACCATCCCCACAAGCGCCGCTTCCGTCGTGTCTGCGGTCGCCGGTTTCCTTCAAACCGTCTCGCTCAACATCGTCGAGAAGCACCTTCGCCGCCTCCCGGGCCTCCGAAACGAACATTTCTTGACCGTTTTTAGCGTCGTGTCGCGGAGAAGATTTGTCGCTTCCGCCGGAAACGGCAACGGGGGCGGGGTCAGGATGTAGCAACGCCTGTCCTTTACGATCAGAAGGGGAGGGCGTATTGTCCTCGGTTTTGTCCTCGGAGCGCCTAAGGTCGCCACCCCGGCCTCGGGCGACGAAAGGTGGCGGCCCTTGTTCGTCTATATTTGGCGTATCATTTGCCCCCGCTCGATCCAGACCAGCCCCTTCGAAGTCGTCGTCCATCGAGTATTCGTGCTCATCGATTTCATCGTCGTCTACGTAGTTGAAACGAGTGGTTCGTCACGAAGAAAATCAAGTGAATTGGTTCGGGGGAACGAAATCAAGAGTTTGGCGTAGTGTGGCATCGTCATCGCCATCGCTGTCATCGTAGGGCGGAGGAAGGGAACATGCATCAACAATCGGGGAAGAGGCAGTGAAAAATGTGGGACAATGGCGAACATCCAAGAAAAAAGGTCCCTAGCGTCGTGATGTCCTGTTTATGTAAGGATACCCATCGCTCTCTTTGGTTCGTCCTTATATCGGCCCTTTCACGTGTCCCCCTGCCTTGTAGCCTTGTCATCCCTTCTGGTCCGCATCGATCGGGTTTCGTCCCAAGAACCTTTTACACTCGCTCTGCAGTGCTCGCGTCCACAAGTAACGAGGCGAGAAAGTTCCTACCGCTCCTTCCCTCACATCACCGTTCATTCCTGTGAAATTACCTGGGTCGCCCATTATTACTCCGTCTTCGTCTTCTCGATACTCTGCCAGACTCGCCGGCGCCTTGCCCACACGTGTGTCTACATCAGGGTTGGACACCGACGCTTGTTTGACTTCCTCCGCCCGTTTCACTGACGCCGACGGCTGGTTGGAGTTTTTCTGGAAACTGCTCTTCGTTCCCGCTCGATGTCCCACAAGCTCCAGTGATCCCTGCAAAGGTTAGCGTTTACCAGACTTTCACACCGTTCGAACAAGACAAGTCAGAACAAGGCGGAAAACCGAAGACAAGCTCAAAGTCACACGCACCTGCACCCAAACGCCTGGCTGAAACCAAAGATAGGGTTGCTTTCGGAAGGACGAGCGTAAAACACGCTCCCTCACGACGCATCACACACGAGTGTGCCGCATGCCTCTTTATGGTCAGCCGATCAAACAACAACCCGCGAGCAGTCGAATCCTGGGCCGAGCGATGCCAGCATTAAGGGAGTTTCCAAACATTGCCATACCGTACGAATGCTGATATATGTACCAGCTACAATATTTTTCGATGAAACCTAAACATTCAAACTTACCAAAATAAGGGTCGAAATTACCAAAGAACGAACGCTGAACCCTGTCCTTCCAGCCACGTACAACCGAACCACGGAAGGATGACGTCTCATCGCATTTTGCGCACTTCTCAATGATTTGATGTCGTCGACCCCGCAGCTATTCCCGCCTGTCCCCCCAAACCAAGCTTGTCGGATTCACCAACAGATCAGCTAGAATGAGCTAATATGCCGCGTGAAGTCCCACCTCTTCCTGAACGTAGCGCCTCTCCCACCGACCGCGAGCCGCAGCCAACACGTCGCCCTTGCTCCCTCTTGCTGATGGAGTCGCGGTTTTCACCGACGCCGCCGCTGCTGCTACCCCTTCCCGATGAATCCCCCATCTTGTGCGAGCTATCACCGGGGCACGGCCGCCTCCACTACCCTTGGCGGCAGCATCTCTGTCTTCTCTCAGGCGTGACGTTGTCGCTGCAGCTGTCGTGGGCATGATTGCACGAATATCGTCAGCGGGGATCGCCGCCATTACTTCCGGCTTCGGGCTGGTCACTTTCTGCAGTCTCTGGTTACCTTGTACTGTTGCGGCTTCTTTCTGTTTAGCGGACGTTGGTGGGTTCTGGTAGAGGGATGGTGACGAGGATCCACCGCATGTGACGCCCGAACTGATACCGGGCGAACTGGCTTCGGCCCCAGTGTTGTTGGTGCTTCCACTTTTCGTCTCGACAATCTTGCTCCCGGTTCTGGTCTCAGTGATTGCGCCACTGCTGCTGCCATGCTTTCCATCGTCTTGGCCGTCCCTGATGGGTCTGCTGCCCTCCTTGCTGCCCCGACGGTCTTGCGAAAACGATCCGCCGCCAACCGGGACAGCGGGCACCAAAGCCGCTAACATCGGCGGAGGAGAATCCCGGCCAAGATCGACCACATCACCCACTTCCGCCTTTACAATATCTCCATCAACATGCGCCGCAGCATCACCGGAGCCATCACCACCAACACTGACAAGTCCATCACCACCACAACCACCGTCACTCCCACCGCTGCATCCAGATCCAGGTGTTGTTTCTGCACCCTCTGAAGCGGATTTTTCCGCGTCAAGGGAATCCTTCACCGGCATTGATGACGAGGGAGGACTGTTTGTCGTTGCCGGGGTAGCTGTGGGCGCTAACCTTTGCTGAGTGTGCGCCCAGGCCGGGAGTTGGTACCTCTGAAACCTTGGGGAGCATCAAGCCGCAGTAAGCACACGCGTACCAAACAAGCATGCCCAGGCAGTTTGCGTGGGGATAAATTTTCATAAGAACTGAAGTCAAACAGTTCTGCAGTCCTCACGCCATCTCCACTAGGAGAATGATTGCCGAGAGCTCGCCTCGTTTTCTGACGTTTCCCTCTCCTCGCTTCGCCCCCTGCCTTCTTTTCACAACTTGTCTCGCGGGCAATGTCAGGCGTGACCGACGGTCCGGCTGCGGAGCACCTTCTGGGCTACCTTACTAATCGAGCCGGTGGACGCAATTCCAACGTGATCCACCCCACTGCGTATGTAGGAGCGCGGACACAAAGCCTCTCACGCAGGCAAAAGCTGGAGCCTTGCAGGAAGGCCTTGGTAATTTACCATTGATCACTGAGAACATCCTAACATATCGGTCAGACCCCCTCCACCAACGGAGGTTCTTCGGGGGGTTAAGAGTCCAACCGGCAACAACGGTGCGCCTGCAGAGACTAGGCTGTTCGACACCACCACCGTTCTACCTCACCTAAGGCGGACCTTTGGATCAGCCTTGGCTTTCGCGCGAGCCTTCACACGGCTCTTCGCGGGCGTCACTTGAGACCCAGGCCCATGTGCTCCATCGCCGCTGCTACCCCCGCTGTCGGCGGCACCGTCTGCCCCGGACTTGGTTTTCGTGCGAGCATCCACGCCGCTCTTTGCTGGCCCCGCTTGCAGCCCAGAGTCCCGTGCCCCGTCGCCGGTGTCACTCCCGTTGTCGCCGGCATCATCTGCCGCGGAGAGCCCCTGATCTCCCGATGTTACGGTCGTTGGAACACCAGTCTCGGCGGTATCTCGTGCAGCCGGGTTCTGCGTGATGAAAGTCAATGAAAATGATTTGTTGCTGGCCGCCCATGCCGGAACGCGTGAAGCGATACATCCTTTGCGAAAGGGGCATGCTGCACATACGTGCTTCAGAAGGGTGGATACATCCAAAGAGTGCCGTGGTTCGTGGAAGACCGACTGATGATGAAAGGTGGCGTTGTTTGAGGCGGGGAAAGGTCACGACGACGATGGTTGGTACTTGCGTGGCCTTGATATGAAGCGAAGGCGGTTGGAGCACGGCAGGTCGTGTTCATTCAGCACAGCCCATTGCGTTCAATATTGCGTTCTTTGCGGGCCTCCACCCGGCGAAAGAACTGGATTGTTGCCTGCCTCACAGATCGACGTGGGAAGTGAATACTTTTTGGTATAGGCGGTTTCCGAGGCATTCTTGCCCAAGGGGTCCGTGAAACAAAACGATTGGCATATTGGCCCAAGCGGTTCTGTAGCGATGAATCGGATACGAATCTTCAGTCCACACTTGCCTCCGATGGTGGCGGTACTGGCGGTGTTGGTGGTGGTATTGCTGCTGTCGCGGCTGTTGCTGCCGCCGATGTTTGCTGTGGTGTATCCGACGACAGCGTACTGCCACCACGGCCATAGTCACGAGTCCCGCGAATGCTGCTACCACCTGTCTTCTCTCCCCCTGGCCTTAGCTCGCACATTCTATCTCGCATGGACTGGTGCAGCTCCGAGGAAAGTCGCCACACGAACATTACCCCGTCGCCTTCAGGTTCGCAATCGGGGGGGCACGAAGGGCACAGGAAGGCAAAACAATGGCGAATGAGGTCTTACTCCTCTGTGCCTCCTGGTCGATGGTTCAAATTACCGCGTGCACCGCTTCCTCCCCCCCGGTGTTTACCATCGGGGTTGGGTTTTCGTCGCTTGGCAACGACGTTGTAAAACAAGCCGCCCCCCTCGGTGTTTGCCATCGGGATTGGGTTTCCGTCGCTTGGCAACGACGTTGTAAAACAAGCTAATTCACCTCGTGAACTCGGCAACCAGGTTACCGTTTCTTTTTTTTTACCTCTAGTTTTTCGGCGGAAACCATAATGGTGGTCGAATAGATCATGTTATGCGGGGTGGAGAACCCTCACTCCGCGCAAGGGGGGTGATCGCACCACGTTGTGTTACAATGGTCAAGCACCCTCGAGGCAGTTACACAGTGCTTACAACTGTCTTAGGAAGTGAAAGCACCAGAAAATCAATTAAGTCATACGCAGCGGTCATCCGTACGCAAGGAAGTAAGCACAAGATGCCGAACACCCGTAGCAGGATGCAGCGCACCCTTCACGCGAATCGCCGAATATCTCACGGCGCTTCGCGCTTGGTGATGTGAGAGCCTGGTCCGGTGAGAACCCGGCGTGCTCCGTCCCGGCTTTGTAGGGATGCGAGGTCAATGGTCTAACGACTATGGCATGCACGGCTATGAGTACACCCGCTTCACAAAAGGATCACATAGCCCGAATCATCCCACAACTAAATGCCGGAATATACCCCAATCCCCTCCCCTCTCCCCCTCGTGTCACTACTTGAAGACCCCCCGCCATCGCGACAGTCGGACGTAATCCATACTAGGGTTCGGATGCGACTGTCTATTTTCCGGCATGAATCCGTGTGCGTGGCCGCGAGAGTACCCCGCCTATCCCACTTTACCTCCCGTGGTAACGAGGCGTCGCCCATCAGGCGTGAACCTCACGCCCGTGGCCAGCTCGCTGTGGCCCGCCACTTTCGCCAAACACTCCCCAGAGTAGAAGTCGAAGAGTCGGATCCACTGCACGTTGACGCGTTTGTTTTCATCGCAAGACGTACAGCAAGAACCAAGACGACCCAATGTGAACGATGCGCATTTAATGTAAATGAAAGCTTGTGTATATGCCTTCTTTCGGTCAGCACTCATCGCTTCTGTGAGGCAAGTCGCGGAAAGGTTTAGTGGTGATCGTGGCACAAAGCGTTGTGACAAAAGAGGCATGGACCACAAGCTCACCATCCGCATCAAGGGAAGATGGAAGATGCAACAAGGTTGCTTGTGTTACGTGGTACGGGATGGAAACAACACAATTCTTTCGTCTTATCGTCGAAAAAACAAGTGGGAGCATTCCCAAGGTGAAAGCAGTAGCACCATAAGAACGTACAGGAACATAAACAGTCACAATGCTGCCACGCTTACAACTATCGAGCACCGCACGCACACCTTATCGAAGCTGCACGCCGCCGCGTACATTCCCGTGGGATCCAAGTCGACCTTGAAAAGCTCCCCCCCGGTGTCTCCTTTATCTCGCGGCCCTCCCCCCACGCTGGTACGGCCTTGTCCTCCCGCTGTCGATTCCGCTAACAGCGATGGGTTTCGCGTCTTCATCAACGGTTCCACCTTGTACGCCCTGACGTGTTTTCCGGATATGGTGCTCCAGATATTGAGGCGTTTGTCCTGTTCAGCNTCCCACAGGACCGATCACCGATGGCCAATCGTTTCTTCCTACTTTGCCAAAGGTGGCTCAAAAATGTCTTCCCTAGTCTGTATCCTAACGATATCCCTTCCTGCCTTTTCAACCCACCTACTCTGCCCCAGTACAGCTACCGTCCTTTCCTCGCTATTCCATGCCTCAAACATCTCCCTGTACGTCCCATCTATTTTTCCCAGCTCAGGCACGTACACTTCCCTCTCCTTGTACAACGGACATTCCGCGACTACATGAACACGGTCTTCGCATTCGAAGCCGCAATCACATTTGAACTCGAAGTCTTCGTCGTCTACCGTCCTATGTCTTCGTCGAAGTTCTAGAAGGCGTATGTCCCCGGTCCTGAATTTGACCTTAATCTATGTTCCTGCATCATCCATTGGTCGATGTAAGTAGCCCTTGAACCCTATTCCTTCCTTCAACATTCCGTACCCTTCTAGACCCTCCTTATCCTTGGTTTCTTTCTTTAGATTCTGTTCTTCTCTCTCGGCACAAGCAACATAGTCTATATCTTCTCCTTGAACCCCTGTAGACCCTCCGTTTCCAGCGTTTCATCCT